TTAACATCAAATATTAATAATAACGTTACGTACAATCTTTGTTAACCTTATTTTAAAGGGTTTTTACCCTAATATTTTGGTGGCTCAGGCCAACCTGCATTTTTACCCTGATGATGGAATTATTATTCCGAAAACGTTCGTGTTACTTGATGTAACCCTTCAAATATACCCATTTACAAAGATTTAACCTCATTTTTTTCTATTAGATACAGAACAAATAAAAATAACTACTAAAATATTCAATGAAATATCCAAAGCAGGAAAAATACCAGTAGAGTGGCTCAAATCAGAGTTCCTACCATTACCCAAAAAACCCGGAGTAAAAGTTTGTGAAGATTATGAGACCATAAACCTAATGAGCCATCTGCTAATGCTATTTTTAAAAGTCATCCACAAAAGAAATTACCGGAAATGCGAGGAACAAATTGCGCCTAATCAGTTTGGATTTGTGAACGTCGTTGGTACGAGGACAGCTTTATTTGGCGTGCAGGTATTGTTCCCGAAATATAGAGATATCAGCTGTAATGTTTTTGCATGCCTGATTCACCACAAGAAAACTTTCGATAAAATCAGGCATGAACAAATGATGGAAGTGCTAAAGAGGACAGGGATTGGCGGAAAAGAATTAAAAATATTAGCTAACCTGTATTGGAATCAATCAGCGGTACTGCGACTAGATGGAGAATATACAGATCAGGTCAAAATCTTAAGAGGAATGAAACAAGGGTGCATAAGTTTACCACTGATATTTAATCTGTACTCGGAGCACATTTTTGAAGAGGCTTTAAAAGATATTGATGAAGGCATCTCAATAAATGGAGTCAGGCTCAATAACCTGCGGTAAGCAGGTAAATTGTAAAAACAAAATAACGGAAACAAGTAGAAAATATGGACTGGATAGCAAAACCAAGCTAATGATCATCATCAACGAAAACTTAACTGGGGCAAATCTGTATGTGAACTATAATCAATGAGCCGTGGGACAATACTAAGGAGATTAAATGTCGCATCTCAAAGACAAAAAGGGCATTCTTGACAATAAGCTCTGTGTTCAAGAGCCATGACCTCATCCTAGAAATAAAATAATGTTATGTGTACTCATTTCTTCTGTACGGAGTCAAAACGTAGTCATTGAAGGCGAAAATTCTATCAAAACTTCAGGCTTTTGAGCTGTGACTATACAGAAATATCCTGAAGATACCATTCACATACAAAGTCACCAATGTCAGGGCAGTAACATATTTCGCTCTGATGAGACCTAAAGAGGTTGAAATGCGTATAAGCAGCTTGGCCGAAACCCTTCATCGAAATAAAAATCTAATACCGTCATTATGTTTAATTTTTTTACTCTGTTTGGAGTACAAGAAACTGCATTTACTACTAATTTTGACCATGATAAACGGCTTGTGGAATGCATATTTTCGACTCCCTTGCCAACCAATTCATCAATCTGTTTGCTTTGCAAGTTATAGAAAGCACAGTGGTAAAGATTTGAGTTCAGTTTCGCCAGGTAAGAAATCTTATGATCGTTCTTATTTTTAGAAAAAATTTAGCAGCGACTATCTAGCAAAGAAATGTATCCCAAAAGTAAACTCTAATCAAGTAGTACACCAATTATTGAGAAACAGAAAAACCGAAAAGAACGCAACAGACCAACCGTTGCCAAAGTTTGACCCTGGAAATGGAACGAACCAGCTCCATACACCATTTACCCTAAATAAATTAAAAAACAGTATACTTGGTTCAAAAATAGACAGACTTCTGGTGTAGATGGCATACCGAATAGAACAAGCACTTCGGACCCCATACTAAATTATGGATATAGATATTGTTCTGAAGCTATTTTCTTGTGGCATTGTAAATTAATTACTATTTATAACTGGAAATAAGCCACAATTAAAGATAAAAATACGTTTATTGACGTTTCAATTTCCAATTCGGAAATCGTTCTCAAAATACAAACAGTAAATTAAACAAATTTTGTTTTTTGTTACATAGTGAAAAAATTCTTCTAATAATTTAATTTTATCTGACTCATTTATATTGACAATTCAGACATACATTATGCATTTTAAAGTAGACGACTTTAAAATGATATTGCCAATATTGTTGAGTTGCGCTCCTGGGACGACTTTACTTATAAGATAGTTCATTCGATTATATGAAATCAACTTTACCTTGAGAATATCCGTCAGAAAAAATCATAACATGTAATTCGTCTTTAAAAAGACAAACACATGACATGATGACAGTAAAATTCTCCTGTTAGTGATTCCATAGTAAATTATGAGGGAAAAACCAGGAAAAAAAACTTCATAATACTATCCCGACATTGTAAGTATTTGTTCGTGAATTTAGTTTACCTTAAACAAACATCAAAATTCTGATTTTATATGTTACGTTATTTAAAAAACATAAATGATGTATCCTCTATATGTTACTGACTTACTAATACTGGTATTTTCTTATTAATAACTTCCTCTTTCAATATTGGTAACCAGATCCTACTACATTCTGCCGAGGAATTTGCAACACAATTGGCCTCATTTAGCATAATTAGAGCCGCTTCTTTGATTTTTCTTTTTTTTACCATCAGTTTATTTTAGGACTATATTTGAATTATTCCATTGAACCCTATGTTCATTATCCCATGCGTGTTTACATATTTGAGATCTATCAAATTCTCTATTTTTAATATAAGATTGATGTTCACTTATTCCAACATTTAATGGCCTTGATGATTCACCTAAATAAAACTGATCGCATTCACAAGGTATTTTATAAATGCAATTCTTTGTCCTTTCTTGTTCATAATTAGGTTTGGTTTTGGACAAAATAGATCTCAACGTGTTTGTTGTTTTGAATGTTGTTGAAATGTTGAATTTATTTCCTATCCTTTTAAGTTTTCAAAAATTTCAAACCCACAGTATGGTGGAGGTATGTAATGATGTATTCTCAATATGGCCTCATGGATCAGAGTTGTTGGACACATTCCTAAACGATATAAACGATAAAGAAAAGACAATAACATTTACCATGGAAAAGGAATATAATAACACGCTACCTTTAGTAGATGTTTTAATCTCTAAGAACGATACTGTATATGAGACTCAGGTGTATAGAAAACCAACACACACCAATAGATATTTAAATTTCAAATTAAATCACAATATTAATGTAAAAAAGGGAATAATTAAATCCTTATACGATAGAGCCAAAGTTACTTGTTCTAACGAAAATTCGTTCTTGGAGGAGAAACATTTGTTAACATCTGTTTTATTAAGAAATGATTATCCTTTATCGTTTATAAATAAAGAATTTTCAACAATCGATCAAATAGAACAGAACAACTTAGAACGAGATCCTACAGCATACACAAGGAATAATATGAGGAAAATAACAATACCGTACATAAAAGGATTATCAGAAAAACTTAAAAGGATAGGAAATAAATTCAACATTTCAACAACATTCAAAACAACAAACACGTTGAGATCTATTTTGTCCAAAACCAAACCTAATAATGAACAAGAAAGGACAAAGAATTGCATTTATAAAATAGATTGTGAATGCGATCAGTTTTATTTAGGTGAATCATCAAGGCCATTAAATGTTAGAATAAGTGAACATCAATCTTATATTAACAATAGAGAATTTGATAGATCTCAAATATGTAAACACGCATGGGATAATGAACATAGGGTTCAATGGAATAATTCAAATTTAATATAGTCCTAAAAGAAAAGGATGGTAAAAAAAGGAAAATCAAAGAAGCAGCTCTAATTATGCTAAATGAGGCCAATTGTGTCGCAAATTCCTCGGCAGAATGTAGTAGGATCTGGTTACCAATATTGAAAGAGGAAGTTATTAATAAGAAAATACCAGTATTAGTAAGTCAGTAACATATAGAGGATACATCATTTATGTTTTTTAAATAACGTAACATATAAAATCAGAATTTTGATGTTTGTTTAAGGTAAACTAAATTCACGAACAAATACTTACAATGTCGGGATAGTATTATGAGGTTTTTTTCCTGGTTTTTCCCTCATAATTTACTATGGAATCACTAACAGGAGAATTTTACTGTCATCATGTCATGTGTTTGTCTTTTTAAAGACGAATTACATGCTATGATTTTTTCTGACGGATATTCTCAAGTTAAAGTTGATTTCATGTAATCGAATGAACTATCTTATAAGTAAAGTCGTCCCAGGAGCGCAACTCAACAATATTGGCAATATCATTTTAAAGTCGTCTACTTTAAAATGCATAATGTATGTCTGAATTGTCAATATAAATGAGTCAGATAAAATTAAATTATTAGAAGAATTTTTTCACTATGTAACAAAAAACAAAATTTGTTTAATTTACTGTTTGTATTTTGAGAACGATTTCCGAATTGGAAATTGAAACGTCAATAAACGTATTTTTATCTTTAATTGTGGCTTATTCCCAGGTATAAATAGTAATTAATGGATATAGATATTTAACACCTATGTAAAAACCAAGCAGATACCACAACTTTAGCGGAAATCGCCTAGTGATCGCTTTTCTGAAACATGAGAAAGATACAAAAGAACCAAGCAAATACAGACCGATGTCGCTATTATGCCACTTGTTTAAGCTCTTTAAAATAATGAGGATGCAACGCTTTGAAAAAACCATCTAACAAAATCTAATCCTGCAGCATGCCTGCAAAAATCATGCACTGCACAAGCACTTGCACTCACTAAGTACACATAGAGTGGCTACGAGCAAGAATGCCAATCCTATATATACTGAATAATAGGCGGTTATTCGGATAAAAATAAGTTAAATCTAAAAATAACTATCACACGTTGCAATTTAGGCAATTTTGGTAAGTTTTTACTTAACCGTTGAACGCTGCATAGCTGCTGATTAAAATACTTATATTAGAATCTTTATAAATCAGTTTCTACACAATATATTGTAATAAACGTCAGAAAAAAATTATTAGATATTTTTCCGAACGTTACCTTTCTGTGGAGTACTTTTCGAACAATTGTTATTCTTAGTAGCTGCTTTCACACTTTTCACTTTAGTTTCTTTGTCTGATAACCCAAGTCTATCAGTAAACTGTCTGAATCGCGATAAGATCGATCTGCTCGATTTAGCATCGTCCTTTTGCACAAAAATACTGTTATCACCTACTTGTTGTTCCGCACAAGTAATACTATTTCTTCTCGTGTTATTTGTACACAAGATATCTTCTTTGGTAGTAGCGCCTTGGTCATGACCAACGTTTTGTTGCACATTGTTAGCTTTTAAATTTTGTTCGTTTGAATAAGTCTTTTCACTGCACTTTAAAATACTTTTCTTCTCGTCTATAAGCGTGGGACCTTTAACGGAATGTTCTGAGTTTCTTTTATTTAGATTTAGGGTTTCTTTGGACACGACGTATTCGGCGTCCTCTTGATCTTGTCGATCTTCCTCTGAGTCTGATTGGTTAGCTTCTGAACGTTCAGCAAACTTCTTTCTTAAGGTCAATGCATACTCATCGAGGAATTCTGGAGGATCGAATGACAGCTTTTTGTTACCCACTAAACAGTGTTGATCGAAACTGAGACCGCCACACCTAGAAAAATTTAAGTAGACATTAATATACATATACATTTATGTTATTAGCATATATTAATAAGTGAGATCCAGTGCGTTTTACCGGTTCTTCCATATCTGCTACAGAGCTGCTAAGGGCACATTGAAAAAAAGACAGGGTCATGTCTATATAAAAAAAGAAGAAGAAGCTTATGTGGTTTGCAGATAATGAAAATTCGCAGATAAAGAGAAGTGTAGAGCGAATATTAAGCAGGAAGGTATCGATAGAAGAAGAAGAAGAGTTTGGGTTTATGCCAGGAAGGAGGACAATGCATACCTTGTTTGCTTTGAAATAGTTGATAGGAAAACAAGAGAAGAAAAAAAGCTCCTTTCATGAGGGATATGTATGAGGGAGCGTAGAAGAATGTAATGACTTGTGTTAGATTGGTCGAAAGATTTTCAGTGACGGCTGGATTACATCAAGGTTCTTTACTGTGTCTCTACCTATTTAATCTTGTTATGGATGTACCAACAGAGAAGGTAAGGGAGGAGGCCCCTTGATTAATGATTTTTGCTGATGATATCGTGCGTGGAGGAGAGTAAAGAAATATTGGAGGGTTCTAAAAGAGCTAAAGGACGACTTAAGGTGAACAGGTTGCCAATGGAGTATATGTGTTTCGAAGGAACAAGAATAGTTCGGAGCATCGAATTGGTATGACCAGTAGGAGAATTTAAATACCTTGACTCGTAAATAACGGATATGAAAGGCTAGATCGAGAAATTGTAGACAATTACCGCGGTACTTTGTGACCAAAAAATCGGAAAGGAGCGAAAACGAAAGATATAAAATAGTGTGGTGAGGTCTGCGTGAGTGTACGGCGGTAACGAGGGTTCAGGAAAGAAAGACGGAGGTATGTGAAATGAAAAGGTTATACTGGATATTGAGTAAGACTAGAGGGGACAAAATCAGGAATGACATAATTAGGGAAAGTGTCGGGGTGATTACAAGTCTCAAAACGGTTCAAGAACAAAGACTGCAACGGTTTGGTTACGTCAGACAAAGAAATGTAAGAAGATAAAAGGACTGTGTGGTGGAGGATTTAGGAGAAAGGTTTAAATGAAAAAGTTACGATGGGGAGAAATAAGTGGCAAAGAGGAGTAAGGAGCAGCGACATCTGAAAAGAGAAAGCTAAGGAAAAAGAAGAAAATAGACTTATGTGGCATCATTCTGGCGGTCACTACCTTTGCTTTACCGTTTTTCTTATAAAATATGAGATTGAATTTTCAAAGATGGGTCGCAATACGTATTTATTTTGCAGTCCAGGTAAGTTATGTTACTATTCTTTGTTTCACGTTAAGAAAATAACATTACGCTTATGGAGATCAGTGTTGCCAAAACTCTCAGACACTCTCTTTTGCACGGATGTCCAAGATATTCCCTTTGCTTAATTTTTGAATTTTCATTTTCAATTAATATTTAACTGTAAAGTCAGAATAACTACTAAATAAAAGCCTTATTATCATTATGTAGTCAGAGAACGACATAAAATAGCTGACATACGCACATCGTATTATTTTAAGTTGCAATTAGTAGTTAGATATACGCATTCCAAGCAGTCAATATTTTCTACTGATTTATATGATTCATGGCATATCGTATTCTCACCGAAAAACAAATAAACTGTCGTTACTATAATTAAAATAAGATAAAATAAAATTATCTGTTGTAAATACTATTTATCTAATTAAAATCATTTTCCCTACTTTTCATCTCTTGTTTCGAATGGGCACTTTTGGTCAATTACGTTAAAAAACATTAATTTAATTCATGTTTGTGGAAACGAAAATACAAATTATACAACCCTAAATTGTGCTTGTGTGTGTCGTGGCAACGCCGCGTTGCTATCGTCCATAAGAAATACATGGCCCTATCTTCGCAATGTTAATTTTCTAAACGTGGAACGTAGTATAACTGTTTTTATGACTGTTTGTATAATAATAATTGTAGTAGATGACCGGTCAATTTTATTTTGTCATCGGTTGAAATTAAGATGAAATCTAATTAAAAAACCAAAATTACAACTGAACTAAATTTCATGAAAAAAAAAACTAAACTAAATTCTAAATATTTGAACTCATTTTGTATCCCACCGGCCATCTCACACTTCTTACCAGAGAATTACGAACCGTAGTAGTACTTTGCTTCTTACGTAGAAGCTTCGGCCAAAAGTAAAAGTGCAAGTCAATCCCAAATCACATCTTACAACATTGAATTCGCGCAGAACGTAGGTAATGCCAACAGAAGGGATTTGAAATTTCAAAGTAGGTAAAAATGGTTGCCTAACTCTTAGTGATTATACGTTAATAATATTTATTTTTGTTTTAATTAATGTTTATATTATTAAAGTAACGATCATACGTTACAAATATCTATTACAAATATCGATCCATTTATCTATCAACTATTTATACCATTCGTAGGCGACGGCGACAAGGGATAAAAAATGATAAAACAACTATTTTTCATTTCTTTACGATACCATATTTCCAGACATGCTAATTATTTTCCATATTTTACCATACTTTCCAGACATTTCCATTATATTCAAATTAAAACATTATTTCCATATTATTAAAACATAGCCCACAAGTATTACGGGAATTACTGGCGTATGTCTTCACCTTATTCTATAATGGACACGACTTACCACCGGAGTGGACGGATGCACATATTAACAACATATACAAAAAAGGAGATAGAAAGAATTGTTCAAACTATAGGGGCTAAGTCTCATAAATTTACTCTCAAGACTGTATGAAAAAATTATAAAAAATAAGATTGAAAAAGAGATGACAGATGTAGAAGAACAGAATGGCTTTCGTGCAGGCAGATCCTGCGTGGACAGTATAGTCTCTCTAAAGCAAGTTACCAAGAAAAGATTAGCCCACAACATTTCAACTCATATAGTCTTTATAGATCTGACAAAGGCATACGATAGTGCACCACTTTCAATGCTTTGGGTAGCAATGGAAAAACAAGGAATAAGCAAAAAAATATACAAGCAGTACAACAGCTCTACAAAAATATGACGGCAAACATTAAAACTGGAAATAGATTAACTAGAGAAATTCCCATTAGTAAGGGCCTAAAGCAAGGCTGCTGCATAGCACCTACACTCTTCAAAATATATCTAAATAAGGCACTCTCACTGTGGAGAAGAAAGTGCTGCAATATGGGCATCCCAATCGGAGATGATAGATTGTACACGATACATTTCGCTGACGACCAAGCCATTCTAGCTAAAGACGAGAGTGATATAAGCTACATGCTTAGAAAACTGGAAGATGAGTACACCAAATGGGGCTTCACAATTAATATACAAAAAAACTGAGTACTTAGTTGTAGGAGAAAAACCAGAAAGCCTACAAATCGAAATGGGAAACTATAAAACCAACAGACAATTTTAAGTACTTGGGAGTCCAAATAATATCAAAAGCAGGAAGTAGCGAAGAAATACATTCCAGGATTGGCCAAGCAAGATCAGCCACCAGACAGCTACACGGACTATTATGGAATAAAAAAATAACAAAAGAAAATAAAAGAAGAATTTATAAAACAATAATAGAAAGTATTGGACTGTATGGCGCCGAACTCTGGGAAATAAACCAAAGAAACATTTCAAAAATTAAGGCTATGGAAATGAACTACTGAAAACGATGTTGCCAGCTCACTAGACTTGATAGGGTGAGAAACGAAGATATTCGGAGAGAAATGGAAATCGATCTAGACATAATAGACACAATCGAAGCCAAAAGACTTAACTGGTATGGACACCTTCAGAGAATGCCGGAAAATAGATGGCCAAAAAAAATAGAAGAATGGACTCCGCCAACTAGAACAAAACGAGGTAGACCAAGACGATCCTGGAGAGACAATGTCGACGATGCAATGACCGCCAGAGATCTAACAACTGAAGATTGCTTCGACAGAAAACGCTGGAAATTAGGATGCGAGAAGCGGCGCCAGCTGTAGAAGACTCGCTTGTTAGTTAGTTAAACATTATTTCTACCTACAAGAAACTTTACCTCAATTTTCCCTTAGCTACCATCTTAGCTATTTCCGAATGATTGAGATGCTGGACTCTCTCCCTGCTTCCCTTTCGCGAACCTGGATAACTTTTCCTACCAGTGGTCGTGATGGTGCTCTCTGTGGATATTTTGAATTTTAAAGTTTTCTCAGAAACTTCAACCTCGTTTGCCGTTTCTGAGTCCCCACTTTCAGGATCCTCTTGAACGTCTTCAAGACTTTGACCCTCTCCAAGTACTGTAGGTAAATCGTTTTCTGTTACTTCTTCGTCTGTTGAACGAGATCTGTTCAAGCAAAAATAAACATGAATGAGAAAAACTAGTAAATAGAAAATTATTGATTACTTATTTAAATAAAAGTTAACATTAGAGAGCGGAATAAATGTAACATAAAATTACCAAAATATGCGCATATATGCTATACTTTTACTAAAAATATGCAGCTGTTATTTCTAAATTTGTCTAAATATGCAAATGCATATTAAAAATTCTCAAAAATAAAACAAAATATGAAATATAACGTTTATGTTTATTACTTATTTATTTTCCATACAAAACAAATATAATGTCACACAAAACCTGATATTATAATTAAGAATCTAAAACATTATAGTAATAATTTATAAAAGGTCTCCCAATAAGAATGTCCTGATGATTTTTTAAACGAAAACGGTAAAAATTGCTGTAAATAAAAAAAAATATTGCAAAAAAAAGATATAGTACTTTTCCATCATATTGATAGCACATTATGTATGCAAATCCTCAACAGGTTACCCACTCTATCTTCTTCTTCTTCTTCGTCTAGCCATTCACGTCCACATCTGAACATAAGCCTCTTCAAGTCTTCCTTTCCATTGGTTTTTAGTGTACGCTACTTGTAGCCAATTTTTCCGGCAGTCCTTTTCAGATCATCTGTCCATCTCATAGGAGGTCTGCCTCTGGGTCTTTTGTGTTGGTATGGTCTCCAGGTTAAAATTGATCTGTGCCATTTGTTTAGATCGCTCCTAGCTACATGTCCAGCGTATTCCCATTTCAGCTTTAATGCTTTTTGCACCACATCGGTGACTTTGGTTTTCTGTCTTATCCATGTGTTTGTTTTCTTGTCCTTAAGTGATATACCTAGCAGTGCTCTTTCCATCGCGTGTTGAGTGACTCTAAGTATATTCATATTATTTTTTGTGATTGTCCATGTTTGTGCCGCATAAGTTAATATCGGAATAATGCATGCATCAAAAACTTTAGATCTAAGATGTAATTGAATTTGTTGATTTCTGAGTATATAGTTCAGTTTACCGAATGCTGCCCAAGCTAACTTTCTTCTTCTTTTTATTTCTTCAGTCTGAATTTCCCTATTTAGGATTATTTTTTGTCCCAAGTATATATATTCTTCAACTTTTTCTATAACTTTATCGTTTATTATTGTCACGGTGTCTTCGGAGTGCATGACTTTTGTTTTGTTTAAATTCATTTTCAGTCCTATTTTAGAAGATTCGGTATGAAGTTCTACAAGCATGGTTTGCATTTCTTGTAGGTCAGTAGCTATCAGGATTATGTCATCTGCAAATCGTAGATTACTGAGGTAGCGGCCATTGATGTTTATTCCCTTATATTTCCAATTTAGGTTTTTAAAAACGTCCTCCAAAACTAAGGTGAACAGTTTGGGTGATACAGTATCTCCCTGTTTGACTCCCCTGTTTAATGGTACAGGGTTCGTGTGTTCATTTTCATTTAGGTAGTATGTAGCTGTAGCTTGGTTCATAGTTTCTTTTATTAAGTTAATATATCTGCTGTCTATTCTACAATTTTGCATTGCGTTTATTACGGCCGTGTGTTCTATGGTATCGAAAGCTTTTTCGTAGTCTACAAATGCAAGGAAAACTGGAAACTTGTATTCGTTACATTTTTCTATTAATATTTTTGTGGTTAACAGGTGATCGGAAGTTGAATAGCCTTTTCTAAAACCTGCCTGTTCATATGGTTGGTATTCGTCTAATTTCCTTGTTAGTCGAGTAGTTATGACTTTGGTGAGTATTTTAAACAGGTGTGACAGTAGGCTGATGGGTCTGTAGTTTTCCAATTTTCGACTATCACCTTTCTTGTGCAATAAGATTACTTTAGAGTTGTTCCAGCTCTTAGGGACTTTGCCCTGATGTAAACAACTGTCCACAAGCTTAGTTACAATTGCAATTAGTTCCTTATCTCCTTCTAATATCATATCTGTGGTAATACTATCATCTCCTGCAGCTTTATTTCTCTTCATGTTTTCCAATGCTGTAGTTACCTCTGAAATTGTTACTTTTGGCATTATTTCTGATCCAACATTTTTTATTAATTTCCGTACTGGTCTCATCTCATCATCTTGTTGATGTGATCTGTAAAGTTCTGTGTAAAATTCTTCTATTCGTGTCAGTATGTTTTCTCTACTTGTGATTTCATTTTCGTCTTTTCCTATTAATGATATCATCTGACGTCGTCCTAGTGTCGGTCTGAGACATTTCATACTCTTATTTTTTTCAATAGTTGTTGTTATTAATTTTTCGTTTTCTTTTCTTTTTTGTTGTCTGATTCCTTTTTTAATCTGCCTATTAAGTTCTCTATATTCGTCGGTTCCCCTTTTGTTAGATTTATTTAAGATCTTCCTTCTTTCTATTTGTTGTAATATTTCTTTGTCTAATTCATTGCATGTTGTTTTCGGTTTTTTCAGTTGCAGAAGGCTTTTATTCACTGTTTCGGTAATAAGGTTATTCAAATCATCAATATCATTGGAGTTTATCTGCAGCATGCTAACTTGATTTAATGCATGCACTATCTTGTTTTTAAATTCACTATTTTTGATTTCTTCAGATGTCCATTTGTATCTTTTTTCATGTATTCTTTTTCTTTCTAGTTTTTTGTTAATTACTAGTTTTGTTCTTATTAGTCTATGATCGCTTCCTAGGTCAAACTGATTTAATACTGATACGTCTTCTACTAGGTTTCTATTCTTCGTTATGATATAATCTATTTCATTCTTTGTCTTTTTATCGGGACTCATCCACTCACCCACCCTATACTTGTTTTGAAATAAATAAAAAAATTAATATTTTAAGATGCCGTCAACAATTCATTATCTTTTAAGAAATCTTCTGTAAAATAAGTGTCCATTAATCTCACTATACCTTTTTTGTGCGTAAAAAACGTCGGTATGTATGCCACACGATTATTGTTAATTATACACGGATGATTAACGAGAGAATTCAATGTTTCACGAAATAAATTAATGTTAACAGTAATTTTAAAGGTGATTATTGTTTTCTATACAAGTTATTGCCTGATACAAAAAGAATACCTTCTTTAAACGATTACCTGGAATTACTGATAAGGCTTCACTAATGATAGTTAAAGTAGTTTTTATACCACATTACAGCTTATGCCATTAATATAAATTAGAAATTGTTTGCATCTTCCATTTAGTTTGTAGATGTACATTGATAATGTCTTACCTACCTACATTTTTGGTGTCGATATTTTATTTGGATTTTAAAATGACGTCGACAACAGGTTTTATCCCGGTTAAGTGTAGTTTTTAAAGGTGCCTTCAGTCTAAGAGAGAAAAATATAATATACACGAAGTATACACGAAGCACTTGTACATCAACGCCCTTTAAGTAATGTTCGTGAAATCGTTAACATGTGTTCAAATATGACAGGGGTTGGAGAAGCAACAATTTATAGATTCCTAAAAGAAAGAAAAGGAGGAACTGTTTCATCTCCCAAGAAGAGTGGAGGGAGTAAACCCTTGGAAATTGAAGAAATACATAAAAACATGATAAGACGCAGCGTCTACTCATTTTTTTTTTAACAAAGAATTTCCAACATTGGACAAAATCCAAACATTAATTAGAGAAAACGAAGAGTCACCAATCATAAGCAACAAGAAATTATGCGGACTGTTAAGAGAGATGGGATTTTGTTGGCAAAAGAATAGAAGAAAATCCGTTTTAATTGAAAAATATTACATTGCATGTTGGAGACGAGATTATCTAAGAACTATTAAAAAGTACCGAGAAGAAAGGAAAACAATTTTTTATTTGGACGAGACTTGGCTAAATGAAGGTCATACTGTACCATATCTATGAGTTGATACAAATGTGAAAAGTTCCAGTCAGGCATTCATCGAAGGTGTATCTACTGGAATAAACAATATTTTCGTTGGAAAAGGACGCAGACTCATAATACCCATATTGGAAACGAATACGGTTTTGTCAATGGTGGATTATTAAGTTTTGCCTCAAAATCAACCAGAGGATTACCACAAGGAAATGACTGCTAACGTTTTTGATGAATATTTTGAGCAAATGTTGGATTTAATTCCAAAAAATTCTGTTATAGTCATGGATAATGCTAGTTACCATTCAAGACTAGCAGAAAAATTGCCAACGACGGCATGGAAAAAGGAGAGATAATCGAATGGTTGGATAAACACGCAATTGAGTACAAGGAGAATTCGACAAAAAAGGAATTATTACCTATTGTACGGCAACATAAAACAGCTTATAAAAAATATATAATTGATGAAATGGCATTAAACCGTGATGTAATTATTTTATGTTTACCCCCATACCACTGTGATCTGAATCCGATAGAAAATATAATTAGAACATTCTTTATCAAAAGTAACTCCAGAAAATTGGAAAATGCTGTTAGTCATGCTCACAATGAAGAAAATAAAATGTGGAATTTGGATAATATGACTGATGCAATGGTGGAACCGGTAATAACTCACCGGTAACATTGGAGTTGGAGATTCCTTAGATTCTGAAGAAAGCAATGAATCTGAAATAGAATTTGATTAAAATAATATAATTTTTTTTTACAAATCGGCCCCTGTTACGGCCGCAAATTATTTTATATATAACCAGTAAAATAAACATCTTACATTTCTTGCAAATTCATTAGTAGCTGTTAATCTCCAGCACTCCGACACTGGGAACTTTATTTAGGGATTAGTAACCCTCAAAACTATTGCATTCTATTCTGCTTCAACCTTTATACCTGGTGGTCATACTCAATTTAAAATTGTTTTTCTATATACTTCTGTAAACTTGTTGACAAATATATATTTTTCATTGAGTCACCCGTATCAACAGTTTAGGGATTTACATACATAATGTGCTATCAATATGACGGAAATGGACTATAACAATCATGTTCCGAATAACACATTATTCAAATGTCCACCGCGACTACGTTTGAAGAAGAGAATCCAATTACCCAATTTTCAGTCACTTTATGCAAAATATCAGCATTTATCTCACGAATGGTGTGCTCTACGTTCCTCTTCAAGTCTTAAATAGATTGTGGTTTGCTCACATAGACCAATGACTTAACATAGCCCCATAAAAAATAATCCAACGGTGTTATATCGCAGCTCCTTGGAGACCAAGCATCTGGTCGAAGTTGCTTAATTCAATGGTTGAAGCAGTGGTGTGACATGTGGCAGCGTTCTGTTGGAAAAACATGCCATTCAAATCCATCTCATCTAACTGAGGACACAAAAAATCCGTTACCATTCGGACCTTATTTTTCGAACATGGTGTAACAGTCAACGGTGATAGGTATCTTAAGATGGTAAACTGAGTTCTTGCATTTCGGCATCTAGCTGGTGGTTTCGTATCGTGCAGAGTAAATTCACGTTCAAACTTTTCCACGATTCGACGATTTACACGCACATCAGGACCATAACTTTTACGTAATGCACGATAGGTATTCACAAAACAACGATTATTAGTATACAATTTTAGGATAATTTACAAACGTTGTTCAAGCATATATCTTGCCATGATAATTTGTTAGAGTATACTAAATACAAACGTCAACAAGTGACAGTAATACCATTTTCAAAATGACTGCTATGACATTTCAAAAACAGGACGTCCCTATTGGGAAACATATTTAATTAAATATGTTTTGAGATTTTAAAAACTAAAATCTTTTACGTTTTATCACTAAAAATGTAAATGCTTTGTTTAAAAACAGAAAAATTGATAAGATGTTTAGAAAAGTTGCCTTCAAAAATACTACAACTTTGCTCAAACAATCGAAGTACTCATTTTTTTTCTAATACATTTTTTAATTTTAATCCCTTTATTTTCGGTAAATTTTGGCACTGAGCAGAAAAGCTGTTAACAAGATTAACCGAATTACTTAATTGTGAATTTCTTTATTTTAATTACTTTATTACATCTCGAATAAAATTAAAATTAAGTTTTTACGAACATAAGTGCTTTAGAATGTTGTAGGTGACTTAAAATTACGTGACTTAAAGTTACACACTGTAAGTTATTTTGAGTATCTAACATAATTATTAAATTCAGGTAGTAATGAGAAAGTTCAGATAGACAATGGGTGATAGATAACGAGCTTGTTCTTATCCAAGTTATAAAATTCCAAGTAAAAGAGAGAAATTTTAAACTTTTATATAATTTATATTTAAAATACGCAAAATAAATCGTGTGTAGCTTAAATATGCAATGTTGTTTGAAATAAGCAAAAATATACAATATATGCATCTATGTGCACTTTGCATACAGATTGAACGAAATAAATTCGGAACATACGAAATATTATGTATTTCGGCTTAATTCTGCTGTAGGTGGTTGGCCAACAAAAGGTTGTCAAATAATTATATTATAAAAATCCAATACTTCAGCGGGCTGCTGGATTCTGAATTAATTTAAGAACTTATTCATAGGTGGTCAAACCACCTATCGCTTCCTAAAGCCGGCCACTCACGGTACAGCGGTGTCGTTCGACATAATCGGACAGAGGCGTTGTTTCAATTTGTTGGTATATCTGGCGCGCCCACACACCATACTGCACCGCAGTATTTGTTCGGTTCTCGACCATGTCAAATCAAACAATTATTTTAGCATCTCTTACTTTCTGTATAACTAAGCGTAAAAAGAAACCTAAAATAAAACGTAGATTCTGGTGCAAAAAAATCCAAGATTTTGGTGCAAAATAAATCTCGTCTGCCCCTGCACCCGATTTACTGGACTGCACTGCTAATTTTAATTCTCTTTTATAGGATGTTCTAAAATTGTAAATTTTTTTTCTTACATACTTCGCATCTTTGTTTACTTGTTGGAACTTTAAAACTAGAATGTCTATTGCCTGTTTTCTTGTTTTTTATATAATTTAAAAAACTCTTTTAAAAATTCTCGCCAAATAAAGTCATTTCGATTTTCTATAATATGATCAAAGCAAGGGTGTAGTTAAAGTATCGTGAGTGGCCGCCTTTAGGCAAGCCCCTCTTTCATTTATCGGAAATGGAGATTTTGAGCGGTGTTGCCAATATCTTTCCACTAGATGTTTCTAAAATAACTAAAAACTTCTGAAATAACTACAAACCATTAAGTTTATTTTTGTTATTAGTCTGTTGTAGTAGATTGGTAAATACAATGAAAAATATAGGCAAATATCCGATTTATTTAAAGATACGAAGAAGATATAACTCTCAAAAAGATCCGCAAATTGGATTATTTCACGGCGATTGGCAACATTGACTTTGAGCTGCGCTCTAGACTATGGTGGGTTCTAAGAGGAGATGGATAGTTGAACGATATTTTATACAATGTCTAACACCGGGTATGGATTTATTTTTGTCAAAGTTTATATTGGTCCACTATTTCAAATGCAGTTCAAACAGACATATATTAAATTGTATGATCCGTTTTAAATTCGTTTAATTTGTATATTCGGCTCTCTAGTTATGATTAACTAGACACCAGATGATTATGCAATAAAACATGTTTTAAAGGATAAAATATGTTCAATTGATCTATATGAATTGTTCCTTATGAGCTATTCTGTATATTCTCATGAATTAGTCACAGAAAACTTATTTTTAAGTTTAAAATTTAAATAAATAAAAAAGAAATAAACTAATTATAGCTTTATATGGATATATTTTAAAATGTCTCCTATATAAAAATAGTCAGTACCTTGATCTAGTTTGCTGGAAACTTAGACTCTTCTTCATTTTGACGTTTGAATTAGAGTTCGACTTTGGCACATTCGATCCACTGTCCGGACTTTGAGACGATGGACTATGATCGGCTAGTGTTGTTTCTACTATACTTTTTCGATGCAGTCTTTCTTCCCTCGTTGCTTCATTAAGTCTTCTATAGTAGTCTAATGCGTCTCGTACAGGCTGAATTATCAAGTCCTAAAAAATATTAAAAGGTATTAAAAATTTGAAAGATTAATCGGTATTTATTAAGGCATTGTTTAAGGCATTAAATACGTACACCTGTTCCGAGATGAGCTACTAATTTGGTATTATAAAGTGATCAAACATGGTTATAAAGAGTATTCAGCGGAAAGTAAGAATACTTCCCACAAAGGCGCAAAAACACCATCCACGCAGTGCAGTAGAGAAAATAACATTACCGCGATATCAAGGGACAAGAAGGCTTATAAACATAGGTGAGCAACTGGATTAACAGGTCGGTAATTTAAGAACTATAACATCTGGAGCAGTAAACCTCTGCATGGTCGACATCTCAATCAGCCAAAAATGTCGACAATACAGCGTCAAACTATTGCTTGACATGAGGAAAGATATTTCCTGAGACTAAGGGCTTTCTACTTGCCATTCAGGATCAGGTTATTCGAACTAAAAATCACCTGAAATATATTGTTAACGATCCTTAAGTCCAAAATGATAAATGCCGATATGCAGGCCAAGCCCTATAAACTATCGAACGAGTAGAAAAGATTATCCACCAATAACTAGCCGACAAACTGGGACTTTTCTAAACCGACAATCTTCCCTATTATTAATGCTTTCCAGTCAGAATGCTTAAAAATGACAACTACAAGCTATACTAAGACCGTACTGTGCTCACAGAGGAACCAGTGGCACTCAATACCGGATCTCATACTAGTTCATAAGTTTACTAGGCAAACCACACTTATTAATGTGGCGATACCTAACACCAATAATTTGCTTGTTTAATACAACGAAAACTCCAACTCCGAAATATCCAAAGTAGGCCTTTCTACATTTGATGTTATCAAGCAGCTCGCGAGCAGCATTTGCTTTCTCAAGGACTGCCACATTTGTCAGCATAGCCCTCCATGGAATTTTTAGTATACGTCTGTGCAGCCACATTTCAAAGGACTCCAGACGATTAATGGTGGATATTTTTAATGTCCATGCTTCGACACCGTATAAGAGGACTGACCAAATGTAGCATTTTACCATGACTTTCAAAGTTGAAGTTGCAAGTTATCATTACAGAAGAATGACCTCATTTTTAAAAATGTCGTGCTATCTCGATTCTACCTTTTATCTCTTGATCTGGATCTAGTTGTTCAGTAATATGGCAACCAAGATAATTAAAACTGGACACTCTTTGAATTATGTGACCATCAACATATAATCGTGCATCTTGATGTGCTAAACGGCTAAACACCATGTGTATTGTTTTTGAACAGTTTATGTTTAGCTTTAGGCCAAACTCTCTTCCCACTGTATCAATGACATTTAAAAGGCATTGTAGTCCAATAGAACCAGTAGAATAATAAAACCATCTATTATAGTTAATTTTAAAAATGTCCCAGTTAAACCAGTTGATGTCGAAAAAAGTTTTTCTATTTACAAATATATGAATTCAGATAGAAGTCATTAGTTTTTATTAGAAAATTTTGAACATCATTTGATAATCTATTGATACCACAATTTAAAATAATATTTATGTGTTAAAATAATTATTGTATTTGTATATGTTGTAAATATTTAAATTGTAAAAAAAATATTGTAAATATTTTTTATTAAATGCATATTTTCTAGAAAAATATGCATATTTTGCATAAAATACTGCATATTTTTGCAAAAAATACTGCATATTTATGCGCATATTTCATACTTTTTTATTTGCATATTTACCTAAGTTTAATTATAACATCGACCGTGTCACTACCTTAATAAATATACATGATTATCACGTAATTTAAAGGTTTTTTAAACCTATTTCAGTAGAAAGTTTCAACTACTTTTTAAAATGAATGTATTTTTCACATTTTTAAAAATTTAACTGTCAAAATTTTACCCTTTTTGATATCATTTTTGAGTGGAAATATCCTTTCAGGTTTTACTGATGATAGTATGACCAGAGCGAAAAAAGGACTATATATTAGAGATCAATACTAGTACATAATAGATTTAGGATAAGATTGTATAGGAAACAATGACTAATGAAAAAATGAGTATTAATACAAATTGTAAGATTGGCGAATGGATTTAGGTTCCGCAGTTATTTAAACACAAACAAACAACAACATCAACCTTTTGGAATAATTTGTAGTACTTTGGATAAATTTTAATTACTTTTAATAAAATAATATACCACCATACACCAGAAGTTTTACTTCTTTGTAAGTTGTTTTTTTAGATAGAATTTGATTTTCAATCAAGGAGACAAAGAACAATTTAAAAAATCAATACGAAGTTAAATGTTATTGTATACACGGTCCGAATGTAGGGTTGTAAGGGAATGAATTTTTTGCCTTACTTTTAAAAGTTTGAACTTAATCCTGTTTATACTATAAAAACTTTTGCTATAAGCTAACAAATACCTGCAATTCGATAAACAGTTCTCCGAGAGCCTCGAATAAGGGCAAAAGCACAAATCCGATAAAAGAGCATTGGGAGGAGGGCTTTGTAATTTTTTCACGGTCCATGAACGGCGTAACTGGCAAACCCTCCAATTTTTCAGCGTCGCTTTGCTTGAAGAATTCCTGGAGGAAGTTTATCTAGCCAAGGTTCAGCAACGTCCATAGGCCTGGCTTCGTTGGATATGTCCGATACTTTGATTAGTACCATGCATAACTAAAATAAAATAAGACAATTAGGACAGAATAGAACAAATATAACAAAACAGTAATAAATGCATTGAAAAGCTTTATATACTTAATAGCGAAATGCTTTTATTTTTTTTATTTACTGTTTTTATAAAATTTTAGTCAATATAATATATAAATGAACAAAAAAAAAAACAATACCATAGAACGGGGTGACTTAATTTTCCGTATTTTCTAGCGTAACTTTTGAATGGGTCATCCCAAAAAATGTGGAAAAGTCACCATTGGGATGGATTTTATGTTTAGTTAACTTAAATCGATAGTATACACTGTGTCCGTAAAGTATGGAACAAATTCTTTTTTAGCTAAACAGAACATTTTGAGAAATAATCCTGAAACAGGTCGATTTTTGATTTTAATTTACCGTATTTTAAAATAATATTCTAATATGCAGGGTGAATTACTTTCGACTAATGAGGTCACCGTCATTTTTTTTTTAAATGGAACACCCCCATTTTGTCTCTATTTTCAGATTACACTAGCTGAACTGATTCCAAAAATGTATCACATGTTGATTCAAATTGGTACAGGGTGGACAAAAATACAATAGTTTTGTGTGTGTTCATAAAGTAACGCGCTAGTTAAATTCACAATATTATCAAAAATACTTACTATCTAGCGGACAAAATATGATGAAATACATGACTTTATAAATGTTCCAACTGCAGCCCTTGCTGTATTTTACAGTAACCCAAACGTTGTACAAATTCTTGTTGAACCTTATTTATTGTCTTGAGAAATATTGTTTATTGCTGTTTGAATTCTCTGTTATAATTCTTGAATATTTGCTGATGTCATTTGATACACAACATTCTTCAGATAGTCCCACATAAAATAATCCAAAGAATTGAAATCTGGTAACCTTGCTGGCCATTCAATAGGTCCACGTCTACAAATCCATCTGTTCGGAAAATTTTCATCTAGGTACCTTCTAATATCTACAGCATAATGTGGAGGTGCACCATCCTGTTGCAACCATTACCTTTCATCAAAACCTTCAGGACTACTTCTGCTGGGAAACAGATTACGAAAAGTAGGTACGAGATATCCCCTTTCAAACTCAAGGTACGTTGCTCCGTTAAAATTACCTTCGATAAAGTAGGGTCCGTTGATTCTATTTCTTACAATTGCAGCCCATACATTTACCTTTTGCGAGTATTGAGTATAATGCTTACGCATCCAGTGGGCGTTTTTTTTGCCCAGTATCTACAATTCTGACGGTTAACCTCGCCATTTAACATGAAAGCGGCCTCATCAGAAAAAAATATGTTTTGTACCAAGAGAGGATCTCGATGGCACTTATCCATCATTGCTTTGCAACATTTCAATCTTCTATCTGGATCATCTTCGTTTAATTTCTGCACAAGTTTGATTTTATGAGGATGCTATTTTTCAACTTTTAATAGTTTGTGTACCGTTGTTTTACTAACACCGATATCGCGACTAACTTTACGCACAGAAGTGTGCGCATCTTCTTCAAAACTAAGTAAAATATCTAATGCTGTATCAGCATTTGCAGAGGGACGAACTGATTTCCGTGTATTTTCAACCGTACCAGCTTCTCAAAATTTCTGTTCAATCTTACTGTTGAACGCGTTATAGGTCTTTCTGGATATTTATCATAGTTTATCATATTTATCAAAGTTTATGCTTGCAACAGAATGGTGCACCTCCACATTATGCTGTAGATGTTAGAAGGTAGGTAGACGTGGACCTGTTGAATGGCCAGCGAGGTCACCAGATTTCAATCCTTTGGATCATTTTATGTGGTGCCATCTGAAGAATGTTGTGTATCAAACGAAACCAGCAAATATTCAAGAATTACAACAGAGAATTCGAACAGTAATAAACAATAATTCTCAAGACACAATAAACAAGAATCAACAAGAATTTGTACAACGTTTGGGTTACTGTTAAATACAGAAAGGGCTGCAGTTCGAATATTTATAAAGTCATGTATTTCATTATATTCTATCCGCCAGACAATAAGTATTTTTGATAATATTGTGAATTTAACTAGCGCGTTACTTTATGAACACACACAAAACTATTGTATTTTTGTCCACCCTGTACCAATTTGAATCAACATGTGATACATATTTGGAATCAGCTTAGCTAGATAATCCGAAAATTGAGAGAAAATGGGGGTATTCCATTTAAAAAAAATGACGGTGACGTCATTACTCGAAAGTAATTCACCCTGTATATTAGAATATTATTTTAAAATACGGTAAATTAAAATTAAAAATCGACGTATTTCAGGATTATTTCTTAAAATGCTCTGTTTAGCTAAAAAAGAATTTGTTCCATACTTAAAGGAACACAGTGTTATGTTTTCAAATTGGGGATTTTCAAAAAAAAGTGTATATCAAAGTCATCTATTGATGTGAGGTCACTATGATAACCTATTTTGAAATAGCTTAGACGATGCATAAAAGCTCTAGTAATATCAATGTCCACCCATTTTTTCATCGATTAAGCCAATTTTTAGATGTTTCAATTTTAATATGGGAGTGACTTTGATAACTGCTACAGACACAATAATTAGTATATGATAATAATTCTTTGAGGTATAAAACATTTTTTTGCAAATTAGTAAAACAATATCAAATAGTAAAAAAAAGGCAAAACAATATATCGTCGCCTCAAAGCAACAGTAGGATATGTAAAATAATGTTGCTTCAAAAAACAGTTTTGTTTGAGTACCTAATTTTACATGTGTCAAATAACAGTTTATATTAATTAATAAGAAAGTGAACAATAATTGGAAAAAAAGTTAGTTGTCCTACTGTTGCCCTCAAAAATAATCTGTTGTTTAACAATACACGTAAATTTCTATTATACATAATCGTAACTCAGCAATAAGTACATGACAACAGTAGGATATGTGCGTAAGATAACTAAGTGTTCCATTGATATTGATGGCCAAAATGAGCAAACGACAAAATATAATAGTATGATATGTATGTTGTATTAGTGTTGCATTATAAAATTTGGGCTAAAATTAATTAAGCTACACAAGGATATGTAATATAATGAAAAAAGTATATCACTTTTTATTTATCCCAGTGTTAAACTCAACAGAAGGGTTTATTTCGAATCATTTGACCTGAATATCACAAAAGTCATTTTTTTACATACTGTTGCTTTAAGGCGAAGATATTATCAGAGGCAAAAATAAGTTATTTTTCTTTAACAAACTCTTCCAGGAAATATGTATTTCGTTGCTGTTTCATTTGTTTCAACCGACGGGTTCTACAGAATTGCCAAGATATCAGCGAAAGGAGCATTAAAAACGTCGGTCTTCACAACTTTAGAATGTTCATGGGTTTCATCTAGTGATTTAATTTCAATGAGTTCGTATTCGTCAAAAGGTAATTTCTCTTGTATCCCTCCGGCATATACGTAATTTATACATTTTCGCACACATATCTTCAATACAACAGCTAAGAAATACAATATGATAATATCAGCGGAAAAAACCAAATGTTTGACAACATCTAAATACCCACTATGGTGGAAAATCGAAAGTGATGGGAAAATAATAAAGCAGGAAGCAAGGTTTAGATATTTAGGAATAGATATAACGAGTTACGGAGATCTTGAAGAAGAAGTACGACAACAAAGCTTAAAACCAAGTAAAGCGGCGGGTTCTCTTAATGACCCAATCTGAAAGAACAAACTCCTAAGACAAGACACAAAAACAAGAATCTATAAAGCCACAAATAGACCTACATTAACATACACGGCGGAGACAAGACCTAACACATCTAAAACGAGACGACTGCTAGAAACAACAAAGATAAAAATACTCCGACGAATATCAGAGAGAAGTCTATTGGATAGGGAGAAAAGCGAAAACATAAGAAGAGCATGCAATATAGAAGACATAAATGGATGGGAGATAAAATGAAAACAGGAGTGGAACGAACATATCAGTAAAATGGCAGAGGATAGAATAGTACAAATAGCACGAGATAAGTCACCAAATGAACGAAGAAATATTGGCAGACCAAGAAAAAGATGGTGCGACAATTTAGGAGGCTAATATTGAAGAAGAAACAGGCTTTAAAGCCTACATAGTAAAAGGAAGAAGAAGAAAAAGATACATTTTCGTTTACCTGACATAATTTTTAGAAGTACATAAGTTCCAACATTTAATTCAGCAAGAGATGGTTTTGTATTCATCTCATCTTCATATGATTGGTTCTCCACAGAATCTTCATTTTTAATTTCATTTTCGCTTTCACTGGTATAGCTGTCTAATTGGCTACCGGAGGAGCTGTCATCCGCCATTACATGTCGACTTACACTTTAAACCGGGTTGGATATTAAGTTTTTTTTACTTTGACGTTTAGTAACTTCTATCTCGGACTTCTTATTCATTAAATAGTCTGTAAGACTATCGTAATTAGAGGTTCTACATAATCAACATTATGGTTAATTGGTGCAATTTTACCCAAAACTTTATTTGGATCGAAAGGAACCATGCCACAAGCCTCAAACCCATTCTTCAAAACTCGCTTAAATGTACTTTATTCATAGTCTCCACGTTTTTGCTTAGTTTTTTGAAATTGTCTGATCCATTAATTCCAAGCATTTTTTTTAATAACGACGGAAATTGATCTTTACGTACACCAGTAATTTTTGGGCATCGCAATTTAAATTCCGTCAAAATCTTTCGCCAAGAAACTTTTATAGATTTAAAAAAGGATACACCCAAAGGCTGACATATGTATCTTAAATTACTGGGAAGGCAGGCAAATTCAATATTGTGCAATTCACACAGTTTTTAATACATGATCTAAAAAGTGAGACGCCAAGTTGTCACCGATCATAACTTTTTTACCTTCCAGCCGTCTTGCGTGTGGTAATTATATAGTTTCAAACAGGTCTGTAAAACAAGTTACCTCCATCCACCCATTTGTTGTTCGGTTATATTTAGCTCCTCTTGCACAACATCACCTA